GAGGTGATGGCAGGCCAGCACCGCATCGAGGCCCTCCGGGCGTATATGAAGGAGACGGGCGGGTCGGCGTCGGACCTATGGTGGACGTGCGAGCTCTACGACCAAGGTGGGCAACCAACCGGTACCGCCCACGGGTAAGCGGGCGCGGCGGGAAGGCTAACGGCAGCTAGACCGCCTACCATCCGACCTCAACCTCAAGTTACGAGTCAACCGGAGGGACCCAAGCCAAGCCGACACCCACGGCCAGATCTGGACGCAGCTGGTATCGATCGGCCGCGACGCCGAAGGGCCGCTCCGGCGCGGGCGTGTCAACGGTGATCTCAAGCTCGTAGAGGCGCTACGGCTGGGTAGCGAGAAGGGTTTCCCGATGCGAAGGCTGGTCACGTTATGGAACCACCAAGGATGGCGGGACATGACGACGAGATGGTGCCGCACAAGGCTGGGCCTCGAGACCTTCAGCATCTCGACGTTCGAATGGATGGCCCGGCTCCGGGTCGACGACTACTGGTTTTCGACGCTGGACACGGTGCTCCGCACCATCGAGGCCCTGCCGCTCGACGGGTGCGGCGAACCCGGGCAGGCCGACTGGCACCGGATGGCAGCAGGTCTCGGAGGGGTCGGCCGACCACGGGACGCAGTGGAATCCTTTTTCTTCAAGGACGAGGGCGGCCGTCGCGCCCGGCGGGACGAAGGCCTGCTCGCATTCCTGGACGACGTCAGATACGGCGCCGTGTGCGAGGCCATTGCGGCCGCTCCCGAGCTCGCCTTCCCCGACCTACGGCGCTTCCTCCGCACCAAGAAGGCCGACGCACAAACGGCGGTCCGTATCCTCCAGCACACCATCGCCTGGATCGACCAGGATAGCGCCGTCGCCGTTGACGAGGTAAACCCCAAGACCCAGAACAAGCCATTACTACGAGAGCACCTGCTGGACGCGCTCGGCAAGATCGGCCGGTCTCGCGGCGTCAAGGGCCATACCGCCTCGGCAGCGGCGGCGCAACAGCTGCAGCAGCGCGTCCTCAACTTTGTCCGGGATCACATCGACGAGTTTACCGCAACGGAGGAGGCCAAGACGCTTATCAACGACAATATGTCACTCGTCAACAGTCCGGCCTATGCCGACCGGTTTACCCTCGACTCCTGGGCCCGCCTTCTGCGCCTTGTGAGGCGTGACACCGACGTAGACGGCCACACACTCCGCCCGGAGTGGCAGACCGCCCACGCGACGCGCTAGAGAGGGCATCAGAAACAGGTCTCAGCGCTGGTGCGGACGTTTTTGTAGATGTGTTCCGGCTAGCCGCCGACCGCCCCGGGCTATATGACGCCGCTATACGTTCAGACCTCAATGTAAGATCGAGGCGCTCATCGCAGGCCTCCCTAACGATATATTAATACTAAGTAGCCGCGCCGCCGAGTTCTACCCCCTAGCCCGGGAGGCACCATCGCGGATTCTAATACCGGCGACGAAGTACGTCGTCCACCCGAACCGAACGTACGAACCACCGGGGGTTCCGGCGTTTCGGTTCGGCTTGGTACTGTATCCTTACTCGGTACGCCGGTATTAGAATCCCGATGGTGCCTCCCGGGCTAGGGGTGTAACTCGGCGGCGCGGCTACTTAGTATTAATATATCGTTAGGGAGGCCTGCGATGAGCGCCTCGATCTTACATTAGAGGTCTGAACGTATAGCGGCGTCATATAGCCCGGGGCGGTCGGCGGCTAGCCGGAACACATCTACACAAAACGTCCGCACCAGCGCTAGACCTGTTTCTAATCCCTCTCTGGCGCGTCGCGTGGGCGGTCTGCCACTCCGGGCGGAGTGTGTGGCCGTCTACGTCGGTGTCACGCCTCACAAGGCGCAGAAGGCGGGCCCAGGAGTCGAGGGTAAACCGGTCGGCATAGGCCGGACTGTTGACGAGTGACATATTGTCGTTGATAAGCGTCTTGGCCTCCTCCGTTGCGGTAAACTCGTCGATGTGATCCCGGACAAAGTTGAGGACGCGCTGCTGCAGCTGTTGCGCCGCCGCTGCCGAGGCGGTATGGCCCTTGACGCCGCGAGACCGGCCGATCTTGCCGAGCGCGTCCAGCAGGTGCTCTCGTAGTAATGGCTTGTTCTGGGTCTTGGGGTTTACCTCGTCAACGGCGACGGCGCTATCCTGGTCGATCCAGGCGATGGTGTGCTGGAGGATACGGACCGCCGTTTGTGCGTCGGCCTTCTTGGTGCGGAGGAAGCGCCGTAGGTCGGGGAAGGCGAGCTCGGGAGCGGCCGCAATGGCCTCGCACACGGCGCCGTATCTGACGTCGTCCAGGAATGCGAGCAGGCCTTCGTCCCGCCGGGCGCGACGGCCGCCCTCGTCCTTGAAGAAAAAGGATTCCACTGCGTCCCGTGGTCGGCCGACCCCTCCGAGACCTGCTGCCATCCGGTGCCAGTCGGCCTGCCCGGGTTCGCCGCACCCGTCGAGCGGCAGGGCCTCGATGGTGCGGAGCACCGTGTCCAGCGTCGAAAACCAGTAGTCGTCGACCCGGAGCCGGGCCATCCATTCGAACGTCGAGATGCTGAAGGTCTCGAGGCCCAGCCTTGTGCGGCACCATCTCGTCGTCATGTCCCGCCATCCTTGGTGGTTCCATAACGTGACCAGCCTTCGCATTGGGAAACCCTTCTCGCTACCCAGCCGTAGCGCCTCTACGAGCTTGAGATCACCGTTGACACGCCCGCGCCGGAGCGGCCCTTCGGCGTCGCGGCCGATCGATACCAGCTGCGTCCAGATCTGGCCGTGGGTGTCGGCTTGGCTTGGGTCCCTCCGGTTGACTCGTAACTTGAGGTTGAGGTCGGATGGTAGGCGGTCTAGCTGCCGTTAGCCTTCCCGCCGCGCCCGCTTACCCGTGGGCGGTACCGGTTGGTTGCCCACCTTGGTCGTAGAGCTCGCACGTCCACCATAGGTCCGACGCCGACCCGCCCGTCTCCTTCATATACGCCCGGAGGGCCTCGATGCGGTGCTGGCCTGCCATCACCTCGGGCGTGCTGCCGTTCACCGCGGCCCAGCCGAGAAAGTCGTCCTCGCCGCCCCGGTCGCTCCCTGGCTGCGCGCTTTGCATGCGGCGGACCTCCTCGGCGCCGCAGAGTACGAGGATGCGGTGTTCTGAGGCGCGGCGTTCTAGACCGCTCCTCTTAAAGACCTCCTTCAGTTCGCGAGCATGCCCTGCCTCGAGCGGGCGGTTCCTGCCGACGCTCCACCTCGTCCCGAGCGTATCGACTAGCATCTTGGCCACGGCGAGCAGGTAGGGCCTGGCGCGCTCCCGGACTGATTCGCTCTCGCCAAGGAAGGCATCCTCTTTCGTCTGGCGTTTTCGGTTGGGCGCCGCCTCGGCAGCGTCCCTTGCCCTTCTCTTCCGCTTCTTCTCTGTTGTTGTCGTCTGTGGCATTGTGGTGGTGATGGTTGGTTTCCTCTGGGGTTCTGATGAGGTGGGTGTGGGTTGGCCTAGGCTTTTATTATATACGACCATGTTAAAGGGTCTGGGACCGGGCAGGTGCTGGTAGGGGTCTCTGCCTGCTGATTGGTCGCCTTGGGCTACCGACGTATGGAGCGCGATGCCTCCGGGTGGGTCGCCGCCGGGTCCGCTCCGCCGCTGGCTTCCTATAGCCGGCTTTGAGGGCAGGCTTTGAGGGCAGGCTTTGAGAGCAAGCGCTGGCCCTATCTAGTATTGAACACCCTAGGGTTGTGGATAGGATTCACCTTCATCGTGTGAGCTTGCATGTTAGGAGGAGCTATACTATAGCCATTCACCTTATCTTGGTCTGGCTAGAGCTCGTCTCGGCACTTCTACCTGTCCTTAACACCTCCATCCAGTCGATTCCCTAGATCAAACAGATAAAGCGCTTATCTAGTAGGGAAAGACCCATCTAGTCAGCTTCAGGCTACACTAGTTTACAATTATATAACATACTATATTTCACCGTAGTGTAAATTACTGCCTCCCAGGCCCAGCTCGTCAACAGTCCTTTTATATGCGCGCATATGCTAGCTGTAGTTGAATTGCTCAAGGTTAGGAAAGCTCTAGTATGTTGTTGCAAGCAGTTCGTTGTGGGAGAAAAAGCTTTGCCTACCATTATTTCATCTTCACTTTGCTCTTACTTTTACATTCAATTATACACTTTTATTCATCACATAGCCGTACTTCACTATATCAATATAAGAACCTAACAACTACTAAAACAACATTCTATAAATCATTTTCTACCTACGTATCTACTCTTACTCTAGTGTGGTGGTGTACCTGCTGCGATATGCCTCCTTTGACGCTGCTCTCTTTGACTGCTGGCTGGGTGCAGTTGAAGCATCACGCGCGGAAGCGGAATTACTAATCCCCATATCTGCCGGCGAGCTGCGCTACAGTCTCCCTCGCTCCATCAGTAGCCCCACGTACGCCCCTGCTCTGCCTCCCCATGTTGATAACCACTCTCCCCTTACCACCATATACCCAACTTTTTATCCCCCCTCTTCCGTCATCTATCTACCTTACTTCAAATAGTATTTTTACGCGTCGTAATAGCTCCTTTACCTTCCTTCCTTACTATGCTTATCTTTATTGGTATCGGTTTGCCTGCTACTGGCAAGGAGAATGCAACGCATCTTATGGCTATACGGTGCATCCTCTCCAAACGCGTTAGGCAAGGTATTGCTTTTTGCGACGCTATACCCGTTTAGTTTAACGCGTTTCAGCTACCTATTCGGTCTATTAACAGCCTGTTATCGACCGTACTGTTCTGGTCGCGTCCTTATTGTTCTAGTCGCGTCCTTCTTCCTCTTCTTCTTCTTCCTGTCTTCCTCTTCTTCTTCTTCTTCCTGTCTTCCTCTATAGGTTCCTTTCACTCTTCTCTTAGCTCCGTTCGCGCTCGTCCGTCACGCCTACTGCTGCTCTAGGTGCAACTCCTCCTTATCCTTCTTTATTTATGTTGATGTAAAGGCTTCTTTTCTTGAATCTCTACATATACCGCGTTCAGGTAATTATCTATTAACCTCCTCTTTTTATTTCAACGATGTGTTTTCGCTTAAGTCCTCAACATGAGGTTTTTACCTTAGGGAGCTTTCCGTGGGCTGGACGCACGCGCGCGTAGCAAACAGACTCCTCATAATAAGGTAACTATGCATATCTCTGTTTTGTCCTGGGGGCAAATTTCTGTTCTGCACCTGGGGGCATATCTCTGTTCTGCACCTGGGGGCAGATGATCAGTTCTGCACCTGGGGGCATATCTTCTTTTGCACCTGGGGCAGATGATCTGTTCTGCCCCTGGGGGCATATCTCTGTTCTGCACCTGGGGGCATATCTCTGTTTTGCACCTGGGGGCATATCTTCTTCTGCACCTGGGGGCATATCTTCTTTTGCACCTGGGGGCAGATGATCTGTTCTGCCCCTGGGGGCATATCTCTGTTCTGCACCTGGGGGCATATCTCTGTTCTGCCCCTGGGGGCATATCTTCTTTTGCCCCTGGGGGCATAAGGAAGTTTTGCACCTGGGGGCATATCTCTGTTCTGCACCTGGGGGCAGATGATCAGTTCTGCCCCTGGGGGCATATCTCTGTTCTGCCCCTGGGGGCATATCTTGTTTTGCACCTGGGGGCATAAGGAAGTTCTGCACCTGGGGGCAGATGATCTGTTCTGCACCTGGGGGCATATCTCTGTTCTGCCCCTGGGGGCATATCTCTGTTCTACCCCTGGGGGCATATCTCTGTTTTGCACCTGGGGGCATATCTTCTTTTGCCCCTGGGGGCATATCTCTGTTCTGCACCTGGGGGCATATCTTCTTTTGCCCCTGGGGGCATAAGGAAGTTTTGTACCTGGGGGCATATCTCTGTTTTGCACCTGGGGCATATCTTCTTCTGCACCTGGGGGCATATCTCTGTTTTGCACCTGGGGGCATATCTCTGTTCTGCCCCTGGGGGCATATCTCTGTTCTACCCCTGGGGGCATATCTCTGTTTTGCACCTGGGGGCATATCTTCTTTTGCCCCTGGGGGCATATCTCTGTTCTGCACCTGGGGGCAGATGATCAGTTCTGCCCCTGGGGGCATATCTCTGTTTTGCCCCTGGGGGCATATCTCTGTTCTACCCCTGGGGGCATATCTCTGTTTTGCACCTGGGGGCATATCTTCTTTTGCCCCTGGGGGCATATCTCTGTTCTGCACCTGGGGGCATATCTTCTTTTGCCCCTGGGGGCATAAGGAAGTTTTGTACCTGGGGGCATATCTCTGTTCTGCCCCTGGGGGCATATCTTGTTTTGCACCTGGGGGCATAAGGAAGTTCTGCACCTGGGGGCAGATGATCTGTTCTGCACCTGGGGGCATATCTCTGTTCTGCCCCTGGGGGCATATCTTGTTTTGCACCTGGGGGCAGATGATCTGTTCTGCCCCTGGGGGCATATCTCTGTTCTGCACCTGGGGGCATATCTCTGTTCTGCACCTGGGGGCAAATCTCTGTTCTGCCCCTGGGGGCATATCTCTGTTTTGTCCTAGGGGCAGATGGAAACACCTAAAGGCTTTTATACCTAGGTAACGTCAAGATAATATAGTCACTGGTTTCATCATTACGTAGTGTAATAGTAGGTACTTAATATAGAATTACCGTAGATACCATATTCTTACTATTCAATCTAATGGTACGAGCTGGATAAGGCAACCAACTGTGGCACAAAGCAAAAGCTTCGATAATGATGACTTACGTCCCTAAGCCTCTCCTCCCTCCCTCCCTCCAACCCTCCCTCCCTCCCTCCCTCCTTCCCTCCTCCCCCTCCCCCCCCCCCCCCCCCCCCAAGGCTGGCCCTAACCCGAGGGGGCCGGGGCCGTGGGCGGCGTCTACTGGTTCGAATAGCGGTTTTAACAGCGGTTCAAATACTGGTTCGAATAGCGGTTTTAACAGTGGTTCAAATACTGGTTCGAATAGCGGTTTTAACAGTGGTTCAAATACTGGTTCGAATAGCGGTTTTAACAGCGGTTTTAACAGTGGTTCAAATACTGGTTCGAATAGCGGTTTTAACAGTGGTTCAAATACTGGTTCAAATAGCGGTTTTAACAGCGGTTTTAACAGCGGTTCAATACTGGTTCAAATAGCGGTTTTAACAGCGGTTTTAACAGCGGTTCAAATACCGGCTCAAATAGCGGTTTTAACAGCGGTTATAATAGCGTTTCAAATACCGCTTACAACAGCGCTTCAAATACCGCTTACAACAGCGCTTCAAATACCGCTTCTATTAATTATACCTACTCTTCTTCTAAAATATAATCTTATTTTACTTCTTTATCCTTACTCTTATACCCTCTTTCCCTCTTCCTCTTACAAATTCAACCCCTCCTCAAACCTTATACCTACTTTTTATTCTCTATATTCTTAACCCTAAGCTTTCTTTATAAACCTAACCCTAACCATGGCTACCGCTGCCCTGCCGGCTGCTGGACACCACGGGTTGCCCCCGCATACAAGTACGCCGGGCGACGGAGACAACCCTAAGAACTACAATAAAGGTTCGCAATAGAGCGTAAATCAATATCAATAATAACCCTTATTCTCATCAAACTCTATCTATAATGACCTTTTCAACCCTAACATATATCGCTTTTTCTCTACCTTCTTTATATACTTCATTAACTTAACCCTTTTTTCTATATAATATAAAGTAACCCTCGTTTTATTTATAACACCTCTCCATCCTCCTCCTCTATATTAAAAAAAAACCTAGAATTCGTTTCTTGATTAGTTTCTCCTTCTTTTCTCGGTAGAAACTAGATCGCTACGTCCCGAACCAATATATACCCCCTCTATATGCTTCCTATATAATGGCCTCCTATAATGTATGTATATTGGTCCCCTCCGACCTGTGGAACCGCCGCCGTCCTCCGACCCACCGGAAAAAGCCCTCCCGGTCGCCACTATTAACCCCAAACTCCCTCTTCGCCAGTTCCCGAACCCTCCCGCTCTTTAGCCCAATCAGAACCACCGGCAATACCTTGTTAATATCTTTATAGCGCCCTTCCTCGTCCGCCTCGCCTTCCCTCCTCTCCTCGCACTAGTTAAGCGGTAGTTTATACGTAAAGTAGCACGATAGCGGCCCGAACGTTATCTTCTTCCGTACCACCGCGTAGCCCTCGCCGGATACCTTATTACACTACTCGTCCCGGTGCGTATACCGTGGCTCGTCTGGCGTCCCCTCCCTCTCGGTTCTTACGTGGTGGCGCCGGACATGATATACCGCGTACTCATCCGCAACCTCGTCCAGCCAGCGGAACAGCGTCCGGACCCGTCGCCCTTCCCCCTTCCCAAAGTTGCTCCACCGGGCAGCGGTCCGCGCCTGCTCCTCGCATCGGTCACAAAGCTCCGCGCCCGCTATGTCCTTGCACGATTCGCCGGCAACCCCGTCCATAAACGCACTGACGACCGTCCGTCGACACCCTGCCGTCGACACGAACGCCTCCATCTCGGCCCGGTTACGTTCGTCTACGGAGCTGCCGTGCGGGTCGGGCCGGCTCGGCCGTCCGTCGTGCACGATGACCGACTCTACTACCTCCCCTGCCCGCCGTCCCCCTCGCCCTGTCTGCTGCACAAAGTCCACGAGCCCGTACGGCTGTTCCGCGTGGATCACTGCCACGATGCCCTGGATGTCCACCCCTGTCCCCAAGCCCGACGTGGCCGTGATCCATCGCTGTCCCCCACCCCCGGCCTACCCTGCCCGCACCCCGTGGTATTCTTCCTCGCTTATGCCGCTGTGGTGGAAGCCGCAGCCGACCTCGTCGGCTATGACGACGCATTGGCGCCTCGATCGGTAGTAGATTACGCCCTTCTCCCCCCCGGATATCGTGGCCTCTAGCCGCTTGGCCGTCTCCGCCACCTGCCGCTCCACCGCCCCGCCCCCGGCCGTGACTTGCTCCACCCGGTACCGGCAATTCACCTTTGTCGTCCGATCCCGTACCATCGTTACCGCCTTTACTAATATCTGCTCCCGGAACTAGTCCTCGAGCACCTCCGGCATCGTCGCAGTCAAGAGTACTAACGGGCAGCTATAGCGGTATAAGCTTCGGAGCTCTCCTAGCCGAGCCCTGAAACCGATATCCGTAATAACGGTATAGTACTCGTCGATGAATATCCGTCGGAGCAAGCCGGTATATAATAGTCCGTCGGTATATGCGGAAAACTCCCCCGCGCTAATAACGTCCGTACTAACGACTACCAGCCGGGCGGCCCGCGGTAGCCCTTCCCGTCCGGCGTATGCTGACGATCGGAAACGGATGTAGTCCACGCCTATGGATACGGCGCGCGTGACCAGATCCTCCATTAGCACCACGAATAGCACAACCACGATGTTAGTCCCGCCGTTCGCCATAACGGCCGGCAATATAAATAATATACTCTTACCGGCCCCTGTCGGTAGCACGCTCATAACGGACTAGCTACCCTCTAGTACTATAATCGCGCGTATACTCTTAGCCTACTTACTACTACGCCATATCGCCCCGGGCCCGAGCAGCCTATACAACCCCGCTGCTATCGCCTCTTCCGCGTCCTCTACGGCGGCCTGCCCCGCATATACTTAGAGCGGCCGAGTCCCGCCTACTATCGCGTACCGTGCTCCGCCGCCTCGCCGGCCCGTTTCTATTTGCCATCCCCGGTCGCCTCCCCATCCAGAAACCGATACTATAGCCGGCTAATCTCCTTAAACGTCGCGATTATCTCCGGCTATAACTTTCCTAGAAACCCGATATATACGATATAATATATTACGTAACCCGGCTCCCATGAGTCGACGCTAGATCCTATACGATATTCTAGCTTCCTCCGCAGTATACCGGCTCGCTAGTGACGGGATCGACCTTGACGTCGTCGTTCGCCCTATCGTCGTCGTCGTCTAGCCGGCTCTCGATCTGTTTTAGCGCGAGTCCCCGTATTCGACGACCTATCTCGATAGCTATAGCCGGTATCGTCCTATGCCGAGCCGTATGCCCGTCGCCGCCTGCATTACGCGCGCTATCGTCCGGCTGAGCTGCTTAGTATCCTATACCCGCGAGCTGCCGTCTCGCCATATGAACTCTAGCTGCTCCCGCGCGGTTCGGCTAGTTGGGCCTTATGCCGGAGCGCCCGCTCCGCCGGGATGATCTATAATATACGCTATTATTATCTGCCCGATTACGTCGGGGACGAACCGGGCTACTTTACGCGAGTTGTCCCGGATCGCCTTTATCTTATCTCGGTCCGTTACGATTATTACCTGCCCGTCGAGTACGAAGATGTTGCGGATGAGCTGCCACGAGTCGCAGTGCCGCAGCGTCGCTACCTCGGGCCCTCGGCCGGGCAGCCCGCCCTATGCGTGGACGAGCACCATCAGTACCTCCCGGAACATCTTCAGCCGTCGCAGCCACTGCCGAACCCCCTCTCGCTTGACCTGTTGCTTTCTCGGGTCCTATATCGACGCCCCGAGCTGCCTTATCACCACCGCCGGTCCGGGCTCTAGCTAGTCGTTCTCCGCCTTCGTTGCGAATGACTAGCTAGCCCCGAGCCGCACTATACTATCGACGAGCCGTCCTAGCTTAATACGCGTCTTGATCAGCTCCAGTCCCCCCCGTACAGTATACCGAGTAGCTTCCGTGCGTCGACGACCTGGTCCCGGAGCGCCCGCGTGAAGTCCCGGACGACGATACGCTCGCCGTTATAGAATAGCAACTCGCCGTCATCCGCCCAACGTACCGATAGCTGCCCGCCCATCCGCATCCGCCAGCCTTTCCCGAGCGCTATCCATCCGATATGGTGCTGGCGATTATATGCGCGCCCATACATATCCAAGCGGCATGTTGGTCCCGGAACGTAAGTACTGCCGGAACCCCGACCTCGTCCTGGTCCCGTGGCTGGTCCTCGAACGCCGCCTCCAAGAAGAAGAGCCGGCACCACCACAAGATGGCTGCTAGTATGCCCGTATATAAGTGCGGCTCGGTATACCCGAGCGGACGAGATCGGATCCCTAGCGCTGCACAAAAGCACAGCAGCGAGCTTGCGTATACGTGCCCGCCGACCCGGGTCTTGATCGAGAATTCGCCCTCCCAGCCACATATAAAACGTATCCCAACCCTTTCTTCCATCTTTTATAATCTGCACCCCTTTAGCAGCCATCTGCTCCTCGAATACGCCGCTCCATACCACCTCTAGAAGTTTTACTATACTGGCCGTAAATACTTCTATTAGTATACTTCCTAGTTGGTACGCTTATCCCTTTACCTAGTGAAACCGCCCGCCGTCCTTTACCTCGCCTTCCTACCGCTTACAAAACTCCTATAATAACCCGTAGTAAAAGTAGCTAGAGAATAGCTCGAGACGCCTCTTACCGAATATCTCCCGCTCGGTAGTCCTTATACCTTACTATACCTATATCTACTCCGTCTCTACCCTCCTCGGGTATTAAAAATATATACCTCTCGTCGTCTCTTACCCTAAATATAATATATACCTCTTACGTCGCCCGTAAAGCTACGTAAGAAATGCTTCTATTTCGCTAGCCTTACCTATCTTCTCTACCCTAACTTTCTATTAGTCTAGCTTTATATACCTATCTAGTATATAGAACGCTGCCCGGCCTCCTTTACTATCTTTTACTATGCTATCCTGTTATTATAGCCGAGAACGAACCTTAATCTTAAC